GTGGTTCAGCCAGTGTGACCAGCTGCCTTCCTGGGCAATATCTCTCCCCCACTTCAGTGGCCCAAACTACACCAGGGCTCAACCTCCTGGCACTTAGAATCTGGGTACTCCTGGATAGTAAGCAGCACAGAAGGCAGCAGTGCATGCTGGGAAAGTCAGTGAGCTGGGAATCAGGGGTTGAGGTCTAGGCTCACGAGCTGTGGGACTTTAGACAAGTCATCTTCCCTTTGTGTGCTTCAACTTCCTGTGTGTGTTGGATCACATGGCTCCTATAATAACTCCACTTCCAAACGAAGAGTCGGTTAGACCCGTGCACGTACTGGCTCTTGCCCAATGTTCTGAGAAGTGGATGGACAGGGATGTATGACAGAGCACAGAACCCAGGCCAGCCAGGTTCAGAGTTTGATTTCCAAGTTGACTGACAGCCGCTGTGGGACTGCGCTCTGCTTACAGTGCTGCGGCTGCCTACGGAGGGGCTGACATTGGTGCTGGAGGCCCAGGTTCTGCCAGGCGGAGAGAAGATTTTTCTGTCTCTCGGTGACTCCTCTTCAGTTCTGATAGGAGGAAGGGGGGTGGGGAGGAAGAAGTCAAAAGCTCTGTCTAACTAGAAGGCTGGAGGGAAAAGCTTAAGGGAACTGCCTCCCAGAGCTGGTGGGTAAGGAGCAGAGGTGTAAAGCTGAATGAAGACCCAGGGCTCCAGCTGAGCAACTGACCCCAACTCTGCGAGCTAGGCCTAGAGAGGGCGCTGCAGCCTCCCCCACTCTGTGTGTAAGTTCCTGCTGCGTTCCCAGTGGGGTAGCCCGTTGTGCATTTTGGGGCTCGCAGGCCCAGTCTCTTCACCTCTCGTCTGTCGTTTTGTTGTACTGTGGTGGCTTGCATGTTGCGGTGAGTCTGGAGGCTGTGCCAGGGTCAGCCATGGTGGACAGGTTTCAGCAGAGCTTCTCCAGGGGCATAGTGCTGAAAGCGTTTGAACCAGAAGACTGAGGTTCAAACCCACCAGCCAGTCCTTGGCAGGAAGACTGGGCAATCTACTTCCATAGACACACTGCCTTGGAAACCCAAGGAGAGGTCACTACAAGTCGGATCAACTCGATGGCAATGAGTTTGGTTTTTCTTTTTCCCCAGACTAATACAGACTTACTATTAATACAGACTTGGGAGCTCTGGTAGCATAGTGGCTAAAGGCACTTGACTGCTAACCAGAAGGCTGGCGGTTCAAACCTACCAGCCACTCCTCGGAAGTAAGATGGGGCAATCTACTTCCGTAGTGATACTGCCTCAGAAACCCAAGGAGGGGTGGCTATGAGTCGGGTCCAACTTGACGGCACATAACAACAACAACAACAATACAGACTTCAACAACAACAATAATACAGACTTGGAAGAAGGAAATGGCCATCCACTTCTACTTCTCAAAGAATTGGCCAGTAAAAATCTTATGAATAGCAATGAAATACTGTCTGATATATTACTGGAAAACTTTCTGAATAGCCCTGAAACATTGTTCTATATAGTACAGGAAGATGAACCCCTCAGATTGGAAGGCACTCAAAATATGACTGGGGAAGAGCTGCCTCCTCTGAGTAGAGTCGACTTTATGATGTGGATGGAGTGAAAGCTTTCAGGACCTCCATTTGCTGATGCGGTACAACTCAAAATGGAAAGAAACAGCTGCAAGCATCCATTAATAATCAGAACATGGAATGTACAAAGTATGAATCTTGAAAATTGGAAGTTGTCAAAAATGAAACAGAATGCATAAAGATCTATATCCTAGGCATTAGTGCACCAAAATGAACTGGTTTTGGTCATTTTGAATCAGATAACCATATGATACTCTATGCCAGGAATGACAAATTGAAGAGGGATGGCATGGCATTCATTGTCACAAAGAATGTTTCAAGATCTATCCTAAAGTACAATGCTGTCAGTAAAAGGATAATATCCATACTCCTACAAAGAAGACCAGTTAACACAATTATTATTCAAATTTATGTACCAACCACCAAAGCCAAAGATGAGGAAATTGAAGATTTTTACCAACTTCTGCAGTCTGAAATTGACCAAACATGCAATTAAGATGTGTGGATTATCACTGGTGATTGGAATTCAAAAGTTGGAAACAAAGAAGAATCATTGGTAGTTGGAAAATATGGCCTTGGTGATAGAAATGATGCTGGAGATCGCATGAGAGAATTTTGCAAGACCAGTGACTTATTCATTGCAAATACCTTTTTCCAACAACATAAATGGCATCTATACACGTGGAGTTTGTCAGATGGAGTATAAAGGAATCAAATTGACTACTACATCTGTGGCAAGATGTGATGGAGAAACTCAATATCTTCAGCCAAAACAAGGCCAGGAGCTGACTGTGTAACAGACCATCAACTGCTCATATGCAAGTTCAACTTGAAGCTTAGAACAATTAAAACAAGTCCATGAGAGAAAAATATGACCTTGAATATATCTCTCCTGAATTTAGAGACCATCTAAAGAACAGATTTGATGCATTGAACATCAATGACCGAGAACCAGAGGGATTGTGGGATGACATCAAGAACATCACACATGAAGAAAGCAAAAGGTCATTAAAAAGACAGGAAAGGAAGAAAAGACCAAAATGCATGTCAGAAGAGACTCTGAAACTTGCCCTTGAACAGAGAGTAGCTAAAGCAAATGAAAGAAATGACAAGACAAAAGAGCTGAACAGAAGATTTCAAAGAACAGCTTGAGAAGACAAAGTCAATTATTACAATGAAATGTGCAAAGACCTGCAGTTAGAAAACCAAAAGGGAAGGACATGCTAGGCATTTCTCAAGCAGAAAGAACTGAAGAAAAAATTTAAGCCTTGAGTTGCAAGACTGAAAGATCCTATGGGCAAAATATTGAATGATGCAGGAAACATCAAAAGAAGATGGAAGGAATATAGAGTCACTCTATCAAAAAGAATTGGTCAATGTTCATCCATTTCAGGAGATGGCATATGATCAAGAAACAATGGCATTCAAAGAGGATATTCAGGCAGCCAGCTCACGATCATTAGCTATCAGAGAGATGCAAATCAAAACAAAGAGATACCATTTCACCCCAGCACTAATGACAAAGTTCAACAAGACGGACGATAACAAATGCTGGCAAGGATGTGGAGAGTTTGGGATTCTTATACACTGCTGGTGGCACTGTAAAATGATGTAACCACTGTGGAAAGCAGTATGGTGATTCTTTAAAAACCTAGAATTAGAAATGCCATTTGACCCAGCAATCCCATTACTAGGTATATATCCTAAAGAAGTGAGAGCCAGGACAAGAGCAGATATATGCACACCCACGTTCATTGCAGCACTATTTACAATTGCCAAAAGATGGAAACAACCTAGGTGCCCATCAACAGAAGAATGGATAACTAAACTATGGTATATACACACAATGAAATACTATGCAACACTGAAGAATAACGTAGAATCTGCAAAACACTGCATAATGTGGATGAACTTGGAGGACATTATGCTGAGTCAAAGAAGTCAATCACAGATGGACAAATATAATATTAGTTCATTACTGTAAAAAGTCAAAGAAAGGTTTATATATGGAAGGAAACTTTCTTTGTTGGTTATCAGGGGAGGGAGTGGAGGGAAGGGAACACTGCAAAAATAAAAAATAAGAAAATCCTCTTTCAAGTGCTGATGAGCAAAGATGTCTCTTTGAAGACTAAGGTACACCTATCCCAAGCCACGGTATTTTCAATTGCTTCATATGCATGGGAAAGCTGGACAATGAATAAGGAAGACTGAAGAAGGGTTTTTGCTTTTGAGTTGTGGTGCTGGTGAAGAATATTGAAAGTACTATGGACTGCCAGACGAACGAACAAATCTGTCCTGGAAGAAGTGCAGCTGGAATGGCCAGACTTGGTCTCACCTACTTTGGTCACGTTGTCAGAAGAGACCATTTCCTGGAGAAGGATATCGTGCTTGGTAAAATGGAACAAAAAGCTGACTGCAGTAGAGTCGAATCTGACTCATAGTGATCCCTCCTTGGGTTTCTGAGGCGGTATCTCTACGGAAGTAGATGTCCCAGTCTTCCTTCCAAAGAGTAGCTGGTGGGTTTGAACCCAGACTTCTGGTTAGCAGTCAAATGGAGTCAGTGCAAAAGGGGAAGGCCCTCAACGAGATGGATTGACACAGTGGCTGCCACCAGGGGTTCAGGTATAGCAAGCATTCTGAGGCTGGCTCAGGACCGGCAGTGTTTCCTTCTGTTGTACATAGGGTGGCTGAATCTGAGCCGGCTTCACAGTACCCCAAAACAACAACAACAGGCCCAGTTTCTTGTTCAGACGAAACTGGGCAGGTGTTTAGCTCGTAAAATGAATGAATGAGAATGAATGACTGAATGAATGAGAAGGGCTCTCCCAGCGAGCTTCGCCTCTCAGCACGCACGGGGCAGTTAAGTATCAAAGACTCTAGGGATGGGGCCCTGGCGTCGGGCCTCAGCTGGAGCTGGGGCGCCAAGGGCCCTCTCCTCGCCTGCGCAGAGCGGGAACTGCCCAAACGTAGTTCCCAGCTTCACCCCATCTCCGCTGCAGCTCGGCTCAGCCGGGCTGCCCGAATCCCCAGCCTCCAACAGCCTCACTTTCATAGACCCTTCTGAGCCCCCCAAGTCTCCCTAGACTCCCTTACACTTCCCAGGCCGGATCTCGGGCGGGGCGGGCGGCCGGAGGCTGCCTCTTCCCCCGCCCCCCAGCCTTGGCTTCTCCCTGGGCTGCGGCGGCCGCCACGGCTGCCAGCGCGCCCCGCGGACTGCCGCAAACCCGGGCGCGGGGAAAGGGGGTCAGCGCCGTGAGGGCGCACGGAGCAGGCCGGGGGAGGGCAGCGGACGGAGGAGGCGGGACCTGGAGGAGGGGAAGGGACCGGGAGCCGAGGGGACGCGCGAGGTGAGGGGGCGGGGAGCCGCGCGGACCGAGGGGGAGGCGGCGGGGGCGAGGCGCGCTCTGGGCGGGCGAGAGGCGGCTGCCGACTGGGGCTGAGCGGGGAACGGCGGCGGGACTTCCCCGAGAAGGGCAGAGCCAGAGCCCGGCGGCCCAGGCCCGGCTGCAGGGCCCGGGAGCGCGGCGCCCGGCACCTCCGCGCCGGGCAGAGACCGAGGAGCCCGGCCGCCCACTCCGCGCCACCCAAGCCCACCACCGCCCGCCGGCCTCTTTGGGATGTTCGAGGGACCCAGGCATCCAGGAAGGTGACCGGGCGAGCCCGAGGATGGGACGGCGCCCGCAGCTCCGGCTCGTCAAGGTAGGAGCGCGCCGGGCAGCCCTCGAGCGCGGGCGCCCCCGGCCCCGGGCTGGCGCGGGGCAGGTGGCCGGGTGGCATGCGAGGATCGCGGGGCAGAGCCGTGCCAGGTCCGGGACGGCCGAGGTCCGAGGGGCAGCCGAACTCCCTGCACCGGAGCCGGTGCCGGGCAGGTGGGAGAGGACTTAGGTAAAGAAAGGAACCGTTGTGGCGACGCTGTCGGGGTGCTGGCGGGGGAGCGGCCCTCCCACCCTCGGGAACCGCTCGGTGCGGAGCCTAGCTCCAGGCTGTGGGCGCCTCTCGCTTCCACCTCCCATCCCTCCCGTGCGACCGCGGTCCTGGGACTGGAGGCTCTCGAGGTGGGTCCCCACCCTGTCCCCTGCACCCTCTTATCGGCTCCCTGACTCCGCACACCCTCACCCCCAGTCCTGGGACCTCCTTTCTGCCCCTTCCCCTGCGCGGAGATGAATGGCCCCCGCGCCCCCGAGCGCTTGATCGATATCGCAGTCGCCGGGGAGGAGAGGGCGGGTCTCCTGCAGCGGGGCCAGTTCCTGCGCGTTGCCTGCCGGCCGCGAGTCGTAGCCCCGGCGCGCAGCGCTCGCTCTCCGAGCCTTTGCATCGGCGGGTCCCTGCGCTGCTCGGCTGGCAGCGTCAGCTCATTCCTGCTCGCGGTCTGGCGACGCTATTCCGGCGCCTGGAGTTTAGGAAACTCGCCAGAGCGCACGCCCAGCGTCTGCCGGCTGAAGTTCAGGGACTGCGGGGCGCTGCCCGCCGGCGGTGGGAGCAGATGAAGGGCTGGAGGGCCGACAGTCGGGCCCGCCGCTTGTGACAACCTCCACTTCCAGGCGCTTCCCAAAGCGGTTCGGCTTGCTGGCTGCAGGCGTGTATGCAGCAGCCGGCTGGAGAGGTGGGTGGGCCTCGGGCCGCGGACCCGGAGCCTAGAGCCGCGCTCGCCTGAGGATTGCATCGCCGCAGGTCTAGCTTGAAACTCCGCAGGAGTGGACCGCCTGAGCTGTAAACACCAGTTTAACTAGGCTTCGTGCATTTAAAAGCGATTATATTCAAAGAATGGAATGGATTTGGGGGAGGGGTGTGGATTGACGGAATTTTATCTTTCCATCAGTTATTAAACCAACTGTGTGCCAGTTTCACAAAGTGGTTGAATTGAGTTAAACCTTCTCGCTCTTAAAAGAAATTGCTGTGGTCCAGCAGCTGAGACCAGTTACTAAGGCTTTCCCCTTTCTCTTCCCCGCCCGCCCAGATATTTTATAAGTGGTTGTATATTCTAAAAAAAAATGACACAGGGTTGGTCGGATTGAACCCTTATCCTCTCCTGCGTCCATTAGGTGAGCGCTGAGGGTGAACCCGGAGACGATCTCTGAGTAACCAAGGAAATCTGGCAGAACAAGTAGAAAGAAAATTATCCAGAGAGGTTGAATAGGCGGTATTCAGTGGGAATATTTTCTAAAAAGGCTCTTGTGCATCTAACCTTGGTCTAAATTCACAAATCAGACAGAATTCAGTCTTTTTAAAGGCATTCAAAGGATTGAATAAAAACCCAGTGATTTCGTTTTGCTTTGTTTCAAGCTTACATGGTAATAGGTAAATATTCTTTCTCTGGCTTTTCTTAGAAAGATGTGCAAATCACTATTTAGAATTATGAGGCTGGACTACAATTGTGTCCTTTTTTTTTTTTTTTTTTGTTACCTCTTCCCTGTGTCCATCCTTCCATGCACTCCTGCCCCCTGAGCTGTCTCCCTGTGCATAAACAGCCTTTCTTTCTCCCATGATTGTTCTTTCCAAGGAGTGTATCTACCTCAGGTTCAGCTCATACGCCCGTTTTCTGTTTGGCTGGAAGCCACAGGTATTTTTTTAACTATGTGATGGGGCCTGTGTCTTTTGTGTCTGGTCTCAGTACTCACTCAACCAGTGCTGAATGAACTCAGGGCAGTGAGTGGACGGTTAATGCTTGGCTTTAATTAGACAGCTGCTTTTTTTCTTTCATTTATGTGGCATGTGCAAACTGCAGGACAACATTCTACCTGTTTTGCAAATATTCCATTTCACCTTTATAACAGACCCACGAGATAGGAAGTATTACCCCATTTTATAGATGAAACAAAGAGAGGCCAAGTAACTTCTCCAAACTGACGGCTCTTGAGGGATAGAATCAGAATTCAAACGCTAGCCCTCTGAAAAACAAACCAAATTCACTGCCAAGGAGTTGGGTCCAACTCATAGCAACTCCCATTGGGTTTCTGAGATGGTAAGTCTTTATGGAAGTAGATTGCCAGTCTTCTTTCCTCAGAGCAGCTGGTGGGTTTGAACCACCAACCTTCTGGTTAGCAGTCAAATGCCTTAGTCACGGTGCCACCAGTGTGGCTATTTTTATGATACCTAACAATGCTCACCTTAAACCTTCACCAGATGAGAACTCAGACTGTTTTGTGAGTATGAATCTAGGGGAGTTATGGAAAATTCAAAGTCCAACTCTGCCCACAACAAGTCAGCCAATGTTGGGGAGGGATCCGCTCTGGGCCTAGCACTGTATGGGAGTCCCTGGAGGCTTGAGTCCACCCAGAGGTGCTCAGAAGAAAGGCCTGGTGATCTCCCTCCAAAAAATCAGCCATTGAACCCCTGTGGAGCACAGTTCTGCTCTGACCCACAGGAGGTCGCCATGAGTTGGAACCAACTCAACAGCTCCTGGTATTTTTAGCATTGTACTACTTACAGAGTACTGTGTGTGAGTGTGTATGAGAGGGTGTGTGTCTGTGTGAGTGTGCATGAGTGAGAGAGGGAGATGTGTGTTGTGTAAGTGCATGAGAGGTGTGTGCATGGAGGATCTGTGTGTGTGGATGAGGGAGAGAGAAAGAAGGGTGTGTAAATGTACATGAGAGTGTGGACGTGAGTGAGGAAGAGTGTGTATGAGAGAGAGAGGGAGTGTACGAGACTGCGATGAGAGAGAGGTGATGAGAGAGAGAGGTATGCGGGCGTGTGCATGAGAGAAAGGTGTATATGTGTGTGACTGAGAGAGAGCTGTGGTGAGGGAGAGGGGAGAGAGAGGCGAAATATTTTCTCTGCCCCCAGAGGGGGGTTGGGGTGAGGGGAGTGCAGCTGGGTCACTACCCACCAGCTATAGCTCCCCACGAGGAAACCCAACTGTGGTAAAACCGTGGTTCTGGGAATGCTGAGGGGCAGAGTTCTCACGCCTCCTGGGTTATCAGGGAGAGTGAATTCGGAGGAGGGAGCTGATTGCATTGGTATTGTTATTATTTAAAAGCCATCCCACAGCATTAAGCAAAGTTTGGAAACCAGAGGGGGAAATGATTACAACCTTGCCCTCCTAATTCGACTGTGACCATTAAAGGAATTAATCCCTGCAGGCCCTTTTTCAAGGTTTGGGCACAGCTGTGGTCACTGGGTGCCTGCCCTCTCACTTAACTCTATTATAGCCCAAGTCTGTTCCGTGTTATTCACGAGCCTTGCAGAGGGAGAAGTTTCAATGTCTGCCTGCTGCCTGTGAGTGGATGGGCTTTGCCATCCCTGTGTGGGTGCACATTTGGGTCATGTCCACGTTGTTTCTTTGATAAATAGCATGGAGCCAGACTTTCAAGGGGGCCATTGGCACGAAGGAAGAGAAAGGCAAAAAATGTGAGCCCAGAGACTGGAGCTGAGGGCTGCCGTGGCGTGTGGGGGACACTAGCCTGGCCACAGACCTGGAGCAAAACAGAAGTCAGGGTGGGGTCCTGAAAGGCAAGTAAGCCTTTAGGAGTCAATATGGCCAGCTTTAGAGAGGGGGCAAGATTAGGGTCAGCTCGAGTCTCAAGGAGTTGAGAGAGTTACGGAGAAGCAGGACATTGACCCAGAGAGGCTGAGGACAAGTTCAAGTGGAAGCTCCATTTCTCACCCTCTGTAGCACCCGGATCCAACTGGACAGCAGTGCGTTTGGTATTTTTTTTTTAACACTTGGCTCTGTGGAGAGCATCAGCAGCCGGCAGAATTCAGCTGCCCAGAGGAGTTTAGGGGTCAGAGGTGCCCCTGGCACCATCCCAAATGGCAGGTTGCTTGCTGAGCTCATGGGCCTGAGCCGGGGCCGTGACTATGGTGCGGCGAGAAGGAAGCCATTAGGTGCATGCTGATCATTTCAGCAACCATCATCCTGGTGCTTGGTGAACCCGACTCTAATCCCAGCTCTGCCTCTCATCAACTGTGTGACTTCAGGGAGGTCACCTTCCCTCTCTGAGCCACAGTTTCTCTGGCTGTAAAACAGAAGCATTGGATCAGATTTCCTGTTACCATTTCATACCTCTGTGAAGGGTCACATTTGAACACTCCTTTCAGGTCCATGACCTTACATAGGCAGCGTGCAGACAGCAGATTCAAGTCCCAGAGCTGCTCTTTCCCAGCTGTGGAACCTTGGGCAAGGTGCTTAGCCTCTCTGAGCTTCAGTGTCCCCCGCTCTGGGTTGGGGGACTTACATAATTCATAAGGTGGAAGTAAGGATGAAACGAGTTGATGCATGAGAAGTGCCTGGCACAGTGCCTGGCATGGAGTTTGCATTCAGAGCAAGTCGTAAGGGGCTGCTTTTCAGAGGAAGTGAGATAATGCAAGAAAAGGAACTAGAAGCAGAATGCCGACAGTCAATACACGGCGTTTTTGCAACTTTTACCCTCCGCAGCATTGAACCTAATAACACACTGCATATGGTAGGTGTTTAAAAACTAAACCATAAAATAAATAAATGAAAACCAAGCTAAACTCACTGCCATCGAGTTGATTCCTACTCATTGCAACCCCCATTGGGTTTCTGAGACTGTAAATCTTTACAGAAGTAGATCGCCCCATCTTCCTTCCGCAGAGCGACTGGTGGGTTTGAACTGCTGACTTTCTGGTTACCAGCCAGATGCCTTATCCACTACACCACCAGAACTCCTTATAGTAGGTGTTTAGCAAATATTTGTTGAATACTTGGATGGTTTTATTGCTGCTTCCTCCACTTTGGT